GTGTGTGTGTAAGCCTGTGTATGTGTGTGTGTATCTCTAAGAATGTACAAAAACAATATACACCCAGATGTTAAAAATATTTGCCTCTGGTAAGGCAGAAGACAAATGCTTCTTATTTGTTTCTTTCTGCTTACTTACATTTATTTTTAAATAAAAAATAAATGAGTTTTTGGTAAATATATGAATTTAACTTTTCTCACTCTTAACTTTTCTGCCCAGGGTGGTGCTACTGCTTACTCATACTCCAAGGGCGTAATTTTCCTGTCATGTTGCCAAGTGGGAAACTAGAAGGATCCTGCCCTTTCATTCTTGGAAATGTTCCTCTGTTCTTCTGACTGTTGAACAGCAAAAGGGCACAGAGCAAACTGCCCAATCGTGTGCGTGCACAGCAGCATAGACAAAGAACACGGGGCTTAATTAAAACCGCAAGAAAAGTAGTGTTATTCACTACAATGGATTTAAAGTTGCAGGTACAATTTTTTTTCTTTCAAATAAAACATACCATTTCTGAGAATCTTTTAGTATCTATTCTTAAAAAAAACACAGAAAACAAAAATAATTGCCCATTCCTTAACGGATACCATTTCCTGACTCAGGCTGGGGAAACAAGTTTCCCCAAAAATGTATATGCTTCCACATCTATCTTTCAGGCTGAAACTAGGGATGGAATTTCAAAATTATACAAAAGTGGAAAAATGAAATTCAAGTTTGAGACACTGTGTTCTGCCAAAGTGTCACTGCCTCTTGCTCCTTTGTTGTTCATTTTTTCCCTGTAGTCTCTCCTGGTACCAGCTGGAGAGATGTTAAAAAGCTCAGCCTTGGGTAATGGCAAGCAGGCAAGCAATCTTTGAATCTCATTATAGCTCAAAGTAAGAAGAAAAATTCCAGCTACATTTCTTCAGTGTTTCCTAAAAATTTCCACAGGTCCTGCTCAGGAAACCACTGCCTTTCCCACCTGGAAGTCTGCCCAGGAGTCATAAGTAAATGCCTTCCAAATTGCAGGATCTATTTAATTTGTGCAGTTTCTATTCCAAAGGTTTCCTATTAATTAAAGTCTTGTTTAAGTTTAATTGAGAAGCTAAGTTTCCCTATAAGAAAAAGGTCCTTCTCTTTTCCTTTTCATCTGAGTAAAAGGTCTGAAAATAACCATTCATCAAATGAGCAGCTTCCTAGCATGAGTGGCAGGACCTTGCAGAAGGAAGGCAGAAAGGTTGTACACCCCAGCGCCCTCTTTACTCCAGCCCTATGAGTAGTGTGACTTTGAACTTATATGCAAAATGGTGATGAGGGCACACACCAAGGTCATTCAGAGAGATATCATCCCGTCCCAGTAACACAGTGTGATGGGAAAGTATAAGAGACAATGCAAACCAGAACACACTCACGATCCGGTCTTGAGTTCTGTTCATCTGTCTGAAATCAAGTTACACGTAACAAACTGGGACGGCTTACAGATTAAAAATAATTAAAATATGAATGAGTATGATACACTTCGGAAAAAAAAAGAATTCAATTACTGCGGTTCACATAGAGTAAATTCAGTATTGACATGTGAAACCTAGTGATATAATTCAAATCTGCTGTCCCCAATGTTCAGTCTGTAGGCCACTCTGTAAGTCAAGATAAATTAGAGTAAGGCAATAGCACAGATGAAAAGCAGTAAGGTTGACAAAGTCCTATATAGTATCCATTTTTACTCCTTCTCCTCTTAAGCACAAGTGGTAGTGTCTCCTTGATGAGTGTCATGGGCTGAACTGTATCCCCTGAAATTCATGTATTGAATTCCTGTTGCCCAATACATCAGAATGGGGCAGTATTGGGAGATAAAGCCTCTGAAGAGGTGATTAAGTTAAAATGAGGCCTTTACGGTCCTAATCCAGTCTGACCGGTGTCCTTGTAAGAGGAAGCAAATTGGACAAAGAGACACCTAGGATGCTTTTGATTAGAGGAAAGACTTTGTAAGGACATAGGAAGAAGGTGCGCATGCTAAGGCACTTCAGTCACGTCCGACTCTGCGACCCTATAGACCGCAGCCCTCTGGGCTCCTCTGTCTATAGGATACTCTAGGCAAGAATACTGGAATGGGTTGCCGTGCCCTCCTCTGGGGGATCTGCCCCGGACCCAGGGATCAACCCATGTCTCTTAAGTCTCCTGCATTGGTAGGCGGGTTCTTTACCACTTGCACCACCTAGGAAGCCCTACAGAAGAAGGTGACCATTAGCAAATCAAAGAGAGAGCTGCAGAAGAAACCACATCTACCAACCCCTTGAGCTTGGACTTTCAGCCACTAGCACTGCGGGAATAGAAATTTCTATTATTTAAGCCATCTGTTCTGTGGTATTTTGTTACAGAAGCCCTAGCAAATGAATATAATGAGAAACTAAAAAATTAAAGCTCCTAGCATGCATTCTCCCTCATTGTCAAGTATATAACTGCCAACCTCCAGAGGTTCTGGAGCTCAGCTCCAGTCCTCTGCTTAGGGTACATATCCCATGCACTCTGGTTTTCAGTGTATGGACCATTGTAATTGTAATTATGATTGCAGTTCTGATAAACCTGGAAGTATTAACACAATGTCATTCTGAATAGGCCAGAGGTTAAGCCCCTGGATACTTAGGTATCTGTGGCAGAAGCACCTAATATTAGCAGGTTCCACTGAAACTGGTTCTAGTATCATTGTTTTTGATATGTCAATGGCTGGGATTTAGACAAATCAATAAATGCAGGAACACATTTATGTTTTTGTTTAACATGTTACAAATGTAATGGAGGCAGAAGCTCCCGGGGCTCACTATTCCACCAGAAGCAGTGATGGGTGTGAGGCAGGGCCTATCATGTACGGCAAGCCCATGAAGTCATCCACAGTCACCAGTGAATGTGTTTGTAATCACAACTCGCAATCCACTGTCCACTAGGAACAAAGAGGGAGGAACCTGATACACTCCTCACTGGATTCTGGCCTGGAGCTTTCGACAGGCAGCATCCTTTTTCTCCTTTTCCTTGGGTGAGCCTCATGGATGGCTACACTTATTCAACTTCCCTTCAAGTTGCTGCTTCAAGCACCAACTCCAATTTACAGTAACCACTTTGGATTTTGATAACACCCAGAATTTGAGACCCCCTGTCCTACTTCAAGTCTAAGTTTACCAAAAATTTAATAAGTCGAGTTTTAGTCATCATTAAAAAAATACATAAGGAGATGGTTGGATGCATCACTGACTCAACGGACATGGGTTTGAGCAAGCTCTGGGAGACTTGAAGGACAGGGAAGGATAGGGAAGCCTGGCATGCTGCAGTCCATGAGGTCACAAAGAGTCAGACACGAATGAGCAGCTGAACAACAGCAACAAAATAGATAATACTGTCTACAACTGACCCTTTCCAGATCACTCATTCCTGCTTCCTAGTCCTCTTGGATCAAACTTCCCCACCCCATTATTCACTCTTAGATGTTTTCTCTACTTGTCTGTGAAGTAAGACCCCCCAACTCCAAACTCTGGAGAACATTCTAACATAGGAGATATTTCTATTGTTATAAAACATACTCTTTGAAATAGAAAAAAAATAACCTTTTATTAGCCAATAGCAGAGGCTAAATGATGCCAAGTGTAGGAGGGGATGGAAGGAAGAAAGGAAGGAAGGAAGGGAGTGGGCTGAGACAGGTTTCTACCATGTACAGTCATCAGGTCATTCTTTAAATCACCACATACTGAAGAGAGGTTTAAATGACCCAGGTTTAAACCCCAGTTCTCAGTGATATTTATTCTTTCCTAGTAAATACCTACCCCAGCTCTGCACATTATTCATTTGGCATATTACTATCTAGTTGGCTGGCTCAGCATCCCCACAAGGTCTAACTGGCATGCTTTACTAGTCTTTCCCAGTAGCACCTGACCATGTAGAAATAAGCAGTTTCCTGTGGACCCTAAGCTGTCATTCTGTGGTCAAGGGAATGATCTGTCCGCACATCTAAAAGCTAGGTCCATCTAGCTCCTTAGACTCTGCAATCACACCACAGAATCAAACCTTGCCCTAAGAAGATGAACTCCCCAATCAGAAATGCCCATTCCTTCCTTGCTCAGGACAGAACTCAAACTCCTTAAAGCCCATTCACTAACACCCTCCTGTAAGGTTCCATGAGATGTAACTGGTCCAACCTCTAGACTCCCAGCCCTTAGGAGGAATTGCACCTCAACTGAATTCTGCCTCTAAAAAGTATTGGATGGCAAGATTCACATCTTGTAAAATTTTCCTGACTTCTAATTGTTTGTACACAGTGGGTACCTAATAAATGCTTATTGTGCATACAAGCTAAGTCGCTTCAGCTGTGTCCGACTCTTTGCCCCCTAAAGACTGTAGCCCACCAGGCTCCTCTGTACAGGGGATTCTCTAGGCAAGAATACTGAAGTGGGTTGCCATGCCCTCCTCCAGGGGATCTTCTTGACCCAGGGATCAAACCCATGTCTCTTTACATCTCTTGCATTGGCAGACGGGTTCTTTACTGCTAGCACCACCTGAGAAGCCCAATGTTTATTGTACTTAATGGTAAATAACTAAATACATGTATTTCATTAGTCAAATGTTAATGTAAAAAAAAATTACTTTAGGGATGCTATTTAGACCTGATTTAAAACTCTGAAATCTAAGGAGGTATTCTAACTTTCTTTAAAAATGGAGTCAGGGGAAGAAAATTATTTTTGCAGATAAGCTAAGGATGTGAGGGATTTATATCTTAAAGAACTACAATTTGTGTTGGAAAGGCCCTTAGAGATAATGACCTAATATTTCTCCTTCTAAATCTGAAATTTCAGACTGTGTTAGATACTGACTAGTTGGTGGGTGGAGAACATAGTGATCCTTAAATTACAAAACCACACCCCACACACTATCTTAAATGCCATTTTTTTTCCTGAACCTAGACAATTTCTGGTATTTAAAACTAGAAATTGTAAGAACAAGGGAAGTATACCCAGAATGAAGTCTAGATAAAAGGTGCTTACTCGGTGCCGCTTTCCACCATCTGTGTGAGGAGAGAGATGCCATCCAGATTTATAAACTCCTGGGCAAATGTGACATCCCGGGAGAGGCTGGCCAAGTCTTTCAGGGCCTCCAGCTTGGCGTCCATACTTGATGACTGGATTCGCTCATGGAGTTGCTGGGCGTTTTGAGCCTCACCAGAGAGAAAAAAAAAAAACAAAAACAAAGTGTTCACAGAGGAAACTACCACAGATCAAAAAAAAAAAAAAAATCACCACCTCATTGAGAAAGGAAGAAACAAAGGCCAAATGCACAAGTTTAGTTAAGTATTACAAACCAAGGGAGGTTTCCAACCATAATGACTTCACCTTCAGGCAATGCTTGTCAATTTCACAACGAAAATCAGTTGCCTTTCTTTGACAGGACCCATATTCCCATCCCAAGGAGAAGCAAGAGCCGAAGAACAGTAAAACCCCGGAAATGGAGTGGGTATGGCAGTGTGAGGGGAAAAGGGGGAGGATGTTTACTTTTTAAGTAAAATTATTATCTACAAATGACAAAAAGCTATTTGCTTAATTAAGCAATTGTACAAATTTATACAGCATGTTCAGCCGTTCAGTCAATACTCTGAGTAATAACTGCCTACACAAAATGTTCAAAAGTGTCATTAGACACCCAAATAATCTTTCGGGGTTACTGAAAATCTTCCAGCACAACACAAGGGGGCTTGTAAATTCCACTTTTCAACATGTGTTTCATGCGCATTAGTTATTTACAGCATGAATTTAAAACCAAGTAATTAAACAAGCAAACAAAAATACAAAAAGTAATTTAAAACCAAATTAGCAGCTTTGCCTAGAATTACAGTTCTCATTTTTAAGGCATTGGCACCTGGCTTCTACATGCAGGACAGAAATATACTGGAGGATCTGAATGTCTAGATAATAACATGTCTTCACATTATGTGGTTTTCAGGGACAAGCAGCCTAAGAAAGCAACATTGATACAGGGGTCTAATCGACAAAAACTCAGCCACATTGGGGAGGGGCCTCAAGGAGGTATGCCGGGCAGCAGGAACGGTTGGTGCAAAGGAAAAACAGAAGGAACAGGCCTGGGATGTCTGGAGGGACAGAAAGAGGCCAGTGTGCCTGGGGTTGGAGGGCAAAGGGGAGCGTGTAAGGAGGTAAGGACAGGCAAACAGACTGGGCCAGGTGGCCTAAGGAGGTCATAAGCAGAAGCAGCGGAACTGGAGGAATCCTGGGTGGTGATGATTTTCCCTGAATGATAGGATGAATTTAAACGTCTAGACAAATGTGTGGTACCTTTGGAGCTCTTAAAATAGCTTTTATATTCAAACGCTAGAAGCAATGAATATATAAATGCACACATATTTGCATAAACATGACCCAAGGAAACAAATCAAGATATAGCCCACTGTTATTTATGAATTGTAATGTTCTGCATAGTTTTTTGTTGCAAGCTTCACTTTTCAAATTTTCCATGAGTCTGCAATATCTTTATATTGGGGGAAGTTTTACACTATTAGAAAATAAAATAGTCTTAGTTCTGATTTTCCAAGTAGTTAGAACAACTGAGAAAGACTCTAATAGCTGTGTGGGTGATTGTATCAAAGAGTAAGTATTATCTTCCGGCATTGTCCTAGGATAGAAAACAAGTTTCATCTTGAGTCACTCAAATAGCACAGTGTGGCTGCCTAATGTCCTGGGATGAGAAAGTTCTGGGTCCAAGCTTAGAGGCAAACAGCCTCTGAGGGAGCACCAATGGACACAGAATAGGTATACACAGTAGATGTATGCTAAGTATTTACCACCTCTGTTCTTTAAGGTCCTAATTAAAGCTTTTCCCAAGGAATTTCCGAATGGTTCTGGGTCCATGATATCAATTAAGAAGTAATCAAAAAAGTCTATAGGTTCACAAGTTTCACAGATATTTTCAAATGTGCACTCAATATTGCCCAGCAATCCAACCAAGTTTTCCCGGAATGTCTGCTGCAAGCGTACTAAGTCATCAGTCATGTCTGACTCTTTGTGACCCCATGGACTATAGCCTGCCAGGCTCCTCTGTTCACAGGATTCTCCAGGCAAGAATACTGGAGTGGGTTACCAAATCCTCCTCCAAAGGATCTTGCCAACCCAGGAATTGAAGGTGTGTCTCTTAGTCTCCTGCAGTGGCAGGAGTTCCACTAGGAACACCTGGGAAGCTCCCCCCAAAATTACTCTTTCACACCTTTTCTTCTTTCCTTAAACTCCCTCATTTCCTGCTTCCCTCACACTGGTAATCTTGCATCACATTTTATCGAGGAAATCAAAATAATCAGCCAGGAATTTTTGCATCTTCCTATTTCAAAAAGCACAGAGCTCCTTCAGCTTCCTGTTTGCAAGAACATGGCCCCAGGGCCTCTATGCTCTTGCTCTGCTTCTTTCTGATTCTCTGCACCTGACCACTGTTTCCTACCCAAGGCCAATCATTCCCTCATCCCTGGCTCTAGAGCTGTCACCCGCTCACCTTCTCAGGCGTTCTGCCCCCACTGCGTCCCCCTTTCTTTTGTACATCGGTCTCGTCTCCAACTGGCACTGCTGCCCTGCCTCCTAACCTGTCCCCTGACACTCGCTGTCTGTTCTGGGGCAGCACCCAGAGTGATCCTGCCCCTCCTCTGCCTAAAAGCTTCCACTGGCTTCTCTCTGTGTGAAGCTCATAGGGCAATGACAAGAAACAGAACTTAAGACATCCTACCATTTGTTTTAGGTTTCCCAGCTCAAGAGAGAGAAATTGGCTCAAAAAAAATTCATTAACAATCTTACTGTTAAGAATCTCTGACAACCTGAATCCACAGAATGACTGAGGTAACACTGTTTTTCTTTTTGCCACAGCAACTGGCCCCCCAAATCAGTGCAACAGGCTCTCTAACCCAGATGCTTCTAATATCAGTTCCCCAAATGAAAGAGGGCAGAAGGCAGGGTTGCGCTCAAAGCTGACAAAGCAACAGCAGATACTTGATAAGCAATTTTATTTAATTTGTCCACACGGGCCAAAATGAGGGATAAGAGGCAAGAAGAGTTCAGGTCATATATAAAAGGGCTCTTAAAAATCTGATAGTTTGGAATACTGGAATGGTTTTAGCATGGAATGTTATGATTCATCTCTTGTATACTGTAGTGACATTATGAAACTTGTTTGCAGATTTCTTTAATTAAAAATAACATCAACAGGGACTCCCTGGTTGTCCAGTGGCTGAGTCTGTGCTACCACCGCAAGGGGAACAGGTTTGATGCCTGATCAGGGAAGATCCCACATGCTACAGGGTGCAGCCAAAATAAAATAAAATAACAGCAGGACATGGTACAGAAATATGTATTATCAGAAGTTATAAAGTGAAAAATAGAGTTAGCATAATGCTAACAGTTTCTTGTGATATTCCTTAAGAACCATTTCTATTCTTTTATTGACATATACCTATTTTCCCTGTGCATCAGGGGGATGACTCTACACACCATGTTCTGCAACCTGCTTTGGCGCTTAATAAAATTTTGAGGTGCCTCTGAGGAAGCACATGCCACATTCTTTTTCACATCTACACAGTATTCTATCACACGGTTATCACCTAATGAATTTAACTAGTCCCAACTGATAGACAGTTAATAGGTTCCAGCTTTTGATTATTGAAAGCGATGATGCATACAACCCTGATGGATGTGTTTGGTGTGTGTGCGTCTGTCTGTCTGTCTGTATGTGTGTATCCTACAGTGCTTTTGTGAGACTATCTATTGAATAAATTCCCAGCTGTAAAATTGTCAGAACAAAGACACATGCATTTTAAGCTTGGGTGAATACAGCTAAATTGCCCTCGAAAAAGGCTGTACCAATTTATACTCTTGACCCCACAGCATCTTTGCCTCATGCCTTGATTATCAAGAAGTGTACATTTTCATCTCTTTTTTGAGAGGAAGATTGAGTTTCTTCTTTCACAGCTATAGCTATATAGCCATATATAAGTCTATATAGATCCTGCCTAGCAAGACAAGGCAGATAAATATATAGATTTATAGACAGAGAGAAAGAGATCATTTTTGTTTATAGGTTTTGGACCATCTATTTTGGGGGCAGTTTATTTATTCACAAGGGATCCTGCAAATTGAGGAATTAACCCTCTATTTATTACTTACATTGCCAATAGTTTTTCTTAATTTGCTATTTTTTTACCTTGTTTCTGGAATTTTTCCCAAACATGAAAGTTCTGTGGTATTGTTTTTATTTTTGGTAATCAAATTTATTAATCTTTTTCTTTGTAATTTCTGAGTTTTGTGTCCTACTTAGAACTTAGGATGGGTTTCCACACTCCAAAACTACAAATCTATTTACTATAAAAACCTTCCAAAACAAAAATTTCAGAAATGTGAAAACAATGGTCTGGAAACCTAGGCTTCTTCTATTAATAACAGGAACATTAGCCAAAATTTGTGTAAAACATGCTTCATGCAATATGTGAACTCAGGTTAGATTTCCATAGCTATTATTAATATTATCATGACAGATATAAAGAAATACTACTTAGCAGCATAATCTGAAGGTCTTCAAACCTTTAAATGCTCAAAAACTCACACATGTTTACACGCATTTCCAGGGTGGGTTCACGGCTATACTTTCATACTACTGGAGAGATGGATAAGACTATGACATCTAAAAAAGATATATATTTAAGATGGTCAGTAGAGAGATTGTCTGAAGATATGCAACATAGAGGAAGACCATATGCCAAGTGTTGGGCTTTTAAAAGAATAACTATGCAGTTTTGTTTTAATCTTCACTTGTTAATGCCTTATTTTGTTAGGAATAATCCAGAAAGAACAGTTTTATAACAGAGTAAGACTGAAGATAAATCCATTAAGAAAAATGCCACTGATAGAGGACATGAGCTGCACATTGCCTAAAACAAGAGTATGTGCATGCATGCATCTATGAGTGTGGGCGAGTGTGAGTACTATGGTTACAGAGAGAGTTCAGCTGAGGTAGATGCAAAAACTTGTAAAAGTTAGCACAACACCATTTGCTGGTTTCTTTATGGTACTCTAACACCTCCTTGCAAATTCAATAGAGACAGTTTTCAAAAATATATTTTTATTGTGTATATAAGAAGTGAAAGAGTTAGCATATGCTGACCCATATTTTTTCAGTCAAACACAAAATCTTTAAAAAGAAAATCTACCAGCAACAAACAAAGTTTAAAGATCCAATATGTCTTGCTTATAGAGTAATTCCCAATTCTAGACTCCGTGGTTACAGTCAAACCATAAAGTGCTTACTTAAACTGCAGGTGTCTGGACCCTATTCTTAGATATCATTATTCAGCTTCTCTTTTTAAAGAGAAGCTTTAGGCCCAGACATCAGCATTTTTAAAGTTCTACCAATGATTCAACTTTGGGGACCACTATTCTCTGGAAAATGTAAACAGTCTCTTGCAGGGGGACTCTATTGTAGAGTTTTTGCATGTCTCCCTTCACTGTGTTGGGCACATGCAGGGCACAAGCTCCAGTGTTCCCAGTGAGGTCAAGTCACACCACAGTGTCAGCACTTTAGCTTTCTGGATGCTGAGAAACTTCACCCTGACAAACACCTAACCTTCTTGCAAGGAGTGGTTTGGCACTGCAGAAATTTTGTTCATGAAGCCAAAGCTTAGATTATAAAAAAACAAAAAAAAACCAAAAAACTGGTGCCTTTCTAATTCTGAGATGAAACAAAAGTAAGGTATACTCTTTCTGCCCATCAACCAGATGAATAATTTCAACAGGAAATATAGGAACTACAAAACCCAAATGAAACCACGGTCTCTAAAGGTCAAATTAACATGAATTCATGCTGACTGAAGTAAGGCCAGTGCTAAGGCAGACAAAAATGTCCTGGATCAACACAGAGCCACTGAAAAATGAGTGTGAATGATAATTTCCCTTAAGTGGGAAAGAAGGTACTGAAAGCCAGTTTAGCCAACTCCAGCAGCGCATACTATTGAGCCCATCACTGTGTTCAGGCTTCAGATGTTACTGGGTAAAATGTTTAGGGGTTTGTAAGCCTCTCTAATGTAATTTTCAACAAGAAGAATTTGTGGTGGTTACAGTACCCACGATTTAATTTTAGCCAGATGCTTTTCCCAATTTTTTAAGTTTATTTTTAGCCTAGCACATGGCTTCAGTGGAAACTGAAAATGAGAGCTAGACACAGTTTTCATCACATATGCAGAGTGAAAATAGTAACACTTGGTGTATTTTGTGCAGATTATTTTTTAGGAAAGTGATAAAATGCACTGTGAAAAAAACATAGCTAAAATATGCTAATGTTACTACCCAAAGTTTCTATAAGCAAGTAAGAAAGATCAAGTTAAACAATACAGTTGGCTACAGTAATCTAAATACACTGTAGCATTTTGTTTAGCAGTTTTTATTTGGAAAACTTGAAAGGGTTTTTTTTTCTAGAATCAGCTGTCAGTGAAGGAATATGAGCAGCAAATATTTCTTAAGCTATATTTGATGAATTGTCACAATAACTGACCAAACCTTAGGAAATGCTTAAACATTTTCACTCTTTCATACACAAACAGACACACCTACTGACTTTCAGTTCAGTTCATTTCAGTCGCTCAGTTGTGTCTGACTCTTTGCGACCCCATGAATCACAGCACACCAGGCCTCCCTGTCCATCACCAGTTCCTGGAGTCCACCCAAACCCATGTCCATTGAGTAAGTGATGCCATCCAGCCATCTCATCCTCTGTTGTCCCCTTCTCTTCCTGCCTTAAATCTTTCCCAGCATCAGGGTCTTTTCAAATGAGCCAGCTCTTCACATCAGGTGGCCAAAGTATTGGAGTTTCAGTTTCAGCATCAGTCCTTCCAATGAACACCCAGGACTGATCTCCTTTAGGATGGACTGGTTGGATCTCCTTGCAGTCCAAGAGACTCTCAAGAGTCTTCTCCAACACCACAGTTCAAAAGCATCAATTCTTCGGTGCTCAGCTTTCTTTATAGTCCAACTCTCACATCCATGCATGACCACTGAAAAAACCATAGCCTTGACTTGACTAAACCATAGCCTTTGTTGACAAACTCATGTCTCTGCTTGTCAATATGCTGTCTAGGTTGGTCATATTTTCCTTCCAAGGAGTAAGTGTCTTTTAATTTCATGGCTGCAATCACCATCTGCAGTGATTTTGGAGCCCAGAAAAATAAAGTCAGCCACTGTTTCCACTGATTCTCCATCTATTTGCCATGAAGTGATGGGACCGGATGCCATGATCTTAGTTTTCTGAATGTTGAGCTTTAAGCCAACATTTTCATTCTCTTCTTTCACTTTCATCAAGAGGCTCTTTAGTTCTTCTTCACTTTCTGCCATAAGGGTGGTGTCATCTGCATATCTGAGGTTATTGATATTTCTCCTGGCAATACTGATTCCAGCTTGTGCGTCCTCCAGTCCAGCGTTTCTCATGATGTACTCTGCATATAAGTTTGACTTTCAAGGGAAGTTTAACAGGCTGTCTCTAGTTTTGTTCCCTTTGGTTGTTCAGATAGTCTTAGGTGGATCTGTGGGTAGGTAAGTAAAACCAATTCGCAGGGTAGAGTTATCCTATCTATATTATGATAATTGTTGATATGACCACAAAATTCAAACTTCAGAGTGAATTTACTTGCACATAACCTGGAACAAAAACTTCCTTTTCTGTGCCTGGAAAATGAAGGGAGGCATTCCTGCTACTCCTGAATAGGGGCACACTCCAAAAATCTTTTGTTTCACATGAGTCATCTTGAAAAATTAATATCCCATAATCACGTATAACAAACTGCGAATCACAGAATCACAAACAAGCATCAACTTACCGGAGACGTGGTTAATCGAAGGATAGTGCCATTTTTTATTTCATTTCGATTCTGGAAAAAAAAAAACAAAAAAACAAAAACACTGTAAATCCTCAAGTGGAAGCTTGGGAAAGAAGACCACAAAAGCAAATATCACCTAGCAGAGACTCTACATATTAATAATAAGCATTCATATGATTTGATCTATTCTCACTTGAATAATTTTTAATTCTTTCTATAAAGAACTTTAAACTGGGTCCCAGATGTAGTAACTTCATTTTCCCCTTCAATTCTTTTCTTTTTAATTTTTATTTTATTTTGGAGTATACCTGACTTACAGTGTTGTGATAGTTTCAGGTGTATATATGCATGCTGCTGCTGCTAAGTAGCTTCAGTTGTGTCCAACTCTGTGCGACCCCATAGACAGCAGCCTATAAGGCTCCTCTGTCTCTGGGATTCTCCAGGCATGTATCCTTTCTTTTTCTGATTCTTTTCCTATATATGTTATTACAGAATATTGTATAGAGTTCCTTGTGCTATATAGTAGGTCCTTGCTGATTATCAATTTATATGTAGTAATGTATACACGTTAATCCTAAACTCCTAATTTATCCCTCCACTCCTTCCTTTCCCCTATGGTAACCATAAGTTTGCTTTTGATGTTTGTGAGTCTATTTCTGTTCTGTTTCTTTATATCATCATGGACAGCATACACTAGAGAGGAAGTGAATATGAACCCAGAGAATAGAAATATGGGACACAAGGATAGCAATCAAAATAGGCAATTTTAAAAGATTATTAAAAGGAGTATGATCCAGCAAAATCATTTCTACATATACATCCAAGAGAACCAAAACTATATAACCATACAAAAATTTGTACCTGAATGTTCAGAGAAATTTTATTCATAACAGCCAAAGTATATACAACCTGAATATCCATCAGCAGATGACTGGATAAACAAAATGTGGTAAATCCATTCAATGGAATATTACTAAGCCATTAAAAGAAACAAAGTATTGATTCATGTTGCCACATAATCTTGAAAACATTAAGTGAAAGAATTGAGATGTAAAAGCTATATATTTTATGATTCCATTTGTCAAAAGAGGTACATCTATAGAGACAAGGAAGCAGATTAATGGTTTCAAAGGGCTGATAGAGGAGGATTTGGGAGTGAGTGTTAACTGGCACAGGCATTTTTTTTTCAGGGGTGATAAAAATGCTCTAAAATTGATGGTGGTGATGATTTTAGAAATCTGTGAATATAGTAAAATCCAACAAATTGCAGAGTTAAAAGCCAATGAATTGAAGAGCCTCTTGATGAAGATGAAAGAGGAGAGTGAAAAAGCTGGCTTAAAACTCAGTATTCAAACAACAAAGATCATGGCATCCAGTCCCATCACTTTATGGCAAATAGATGGGGAAACAATGGAAACAGTGAGAGACTTAACTTCTTGGGCTTCAAAATCACTGCAGATGGTGACTGCAGCCATGAAATTAAAAGACACTTGCTCCTTGGAAGAAAAACAATGACAAACCTAGACAGCATATTAAAAAGCAGATACATTAGTTTGCCTACAAAGGTCCATATAGTCAAAGCTACGGTTTTTCCAGTAGTCATGTAAGGATGTGAGAGCTGGACAATAAAAAAGGCTGACCACCGAAGAACTGATGCCTTTGAGCTATGATGCTGGAGAAGACTCTTGAGAGTCCCTTGGAGAGCAAGGAGATCAAACCAGTCAATCCTAAAGGAAATCAACCTTGAATATTGATTGGAAGGACTGATACTGAAGCTCCAATACTTAGGCCACCTGATATGAAAAGCTGACTCACTGGGAAAGACCCTGATGCTGGGAAAGATTGAAGGCAGGAGGACAAGGGGACAACAGAGGATGAGATGGTTGGATGGCATCACCGACTCAATGGACATGGGTTTGAGCAAACTCTGGAAGATGGTGAAGGACAGGGAAGCCTGGTGTGCTGCAGTCCATGGGGTTGCAAAGAGTTGGACATATCTGAGAAACTGAACAACAACAACAAATTGAACACTTTAACAGATGAATTTTTGGTACGTGAATTATCTCAATAAAGTTGTTCTCTTTTTTTGGAAAAAAAAAAAGTTAAGAAGGAATCTGGTGTCTGGTTTCTTAACATTTTCTGGTTTCTATTGAACGCTGCCTTGAAGTTAAGAACAAACAGCATATAAGAGCAGATTCCAAATTGGTCCATCTCCACTCAGCAAGTGTATTGGAAGTGAGTGTTCTGAAGCTTTCACTTGGCACCTTTGGAATGGAAAAGAGAATTTCACTGGCAGTTTTTTCTTCTGCCACCAGAGTACGCACCATGCTCAGCTTTCAGGAGTTGACCTTCTGGGAGTCATATCACCGCATCCCCCACCCTGGAGCACTGAGCCAGGAGGTTAATAAAGTTTCTTGTGGGTCAATCTCCTGCACTATTTCCAACAAGCCACAAGCTAGAATTTGCTCAGGATGCAGCAGGAATATTGGAGTAGTAGCAAATTTCTCAGAATGAGATGCCATAAACACAGAATACTCACTCTTGCCCTCAGTCAATTCTGACGACTTATTGGAAAATGAATGTTCTAGAACAATTATCTGAAAGCAAGCAGGCCTCAGGCCAATACTTTCTCCCAAAGAAATCTTAATCTGAACATTTTACAATGAGTTCAGGCAGGCCTAAAAGCTCCACACTGCTGGATCCAAACCTTCCTTGGGCAATTTCAGCCCAATTTAGAGCATCTCCAGCCAGACACCCTGGGCCACCTCTTGAGAGAGCAAGGTCTTCATTACTGGAAGGGTGTAGGCAAGGGCTGAATGACCACCAGGCAGCCAGGTTCAGGTATGAGATGGTGAAATGAATTTCAGTCTTTTTAAAAAAACCTTTCAACTCTAAAATTCTATGCCTCTAAGAGAAATGGAGAGGAAAACCACAAATACTAATTATAGAATAATTAAGGAAGCCAAATAGATAGCTACGTCTTTCCTGCTCACGTTTTATATGAATCAAGAAATAAAGGAGTCAGAAGGTGAAAGCCTAAAATATCTCCTTTATTAGTGATTATGGAACACAAGTGGAACACAAGGCTGAGAATGATAACCAGCAGACAGCTAACTAAACCCTCAGATTAGCATACCTGTTGAGGTTAAGACCAAAGGCAGGTTCCTTCCCAAGAGGAAAAGGGGGCCTAGTTTATTCTTCCCAAGTAACAAATCAAGCAGGAAAAGAGGGTATAAAGAGGCCAGGAGGATTTAGCAATAATCTTTCCTCGTGAAAATTGGGAGTGGTGATGAAGCATTCCCAATAAAAGCAATAAATTAACATTTATTGAAAGGCACTGGGGTGAGGGATTTGGGGTTTTGTTGGAATGGTTATTTAACCATCATAATAATCTTGTGTTCATTTTAAAGATAAGAAACCAAAGCTGCCAAGAGGATAAGTTATTTGCCCAGCATCAAGGAGGGGGAGGGGGGACTCAAACCCCTCAGGGTGGGGGGCAGATGACATCAGAGGCTGTGCTCCCTCTAGAAAAGGTAAACAACTTAGCCCTTGCATTCATCGTTAGAGGGGTGAGCTCATCATCTGATTGCCATGTATGAGAGCAAAGAAGTAAGTGTGGTATTAACAAATGCTCTGCAGATTCCCAGGTGTTCCCCAGGACATCCTGGACATGAGGCACTTGGTGGAAGCATGGCTGGGGTGACCTCAAGCAATTGACCTCCATGTTGATGCCTTCGACACAGACTCCTGACTTTCTGGGATCCAAGAATGAGTTCTTTGAAGAAAGGGTCTTGAGGATCGTTTATTTAAAACAAAAGCAGTGTCAAAACCACTGACAGGCAGGGCTGGGTGCAAATTCCATCTGACCCGCACCACCTTGTACACTCAGCACAAGCTATTCAACCACTCCAATCTAAAATGGGAAGAACAAGGCATTGCTTAGAGAATGCAGCAAGAACCAGATGTGTCTCATGAGCTGTGCCTGGCCTAGAATTCATTCAAAATGGGACTGTTACATTCTTAATCAGCAGCTGATTTGCTTTCTGTCTCTTCCTTTTCCCCAAAATACATTTTTTAATCAGTATTTAGTATTTTGGAACAATAGATAAACAACAACAACAACAATAACAACAACAAAAAAAAACCAGAAAAGCCACAAATATATGCATTAAAAACTTTAAGGTCCCAACAGACGGGTAGATCAAACTCAAAGAGAGAGCCAATGGTAGACATTTGCTTCAGAGAATTTTCCATTAAGAAAATCCCCTGGATGCCACCTCTCATGCCACTGACTGAGGATGACGCCTTTTGCCCTCCAAAGAAGTCGGACTTGGGATGTAAACACAGGAAAAGGCTTGGACTTACTCTTATTTCACAAGTTTCATCCAGGCAGTGTAGAGCATCACTGAAGAGTTGGGTTTCCAGCTAGGACAGTCTGAACTAGACCCACATCTGACTTCTTACCTGGGGAATCCAGTACAAGTGACATAGCTGCCCTCTGGGTCAGCTTGTTTGTTAAAACAAGCCCGTCTTGTGCCCGTCTCCTAAGGCTGTTCTGAGGATTAACTGAAATAATCCATTTAAAGTGCTTAGGACAGAGAATGGCACCTTGCAAACACTTATGAAAAAAGTTAGCTGTTTATTATGAAGTGCAAAAATAACATCCGAAAAGCACATTGCTGCATATACTTTTTTGTTTTGAGCTAGTATCTATATGTGATCCAGCCAGTAAAAATAATAGTGCCATCTAGGTGATCCTGAGTCTCAGGCTTCAGGAAGTCAGCAGCACGTATCCAGCGGAATTACAAATGCTATCAACCATATGCCTATTCCACCAGCAGGTCAGCACGGCTGAGGGGAGGTCTGACACACAGCATGCTCCACATCAAAGGCTGAGGACCTGGCACTCGCTCCTTTATCACACTCTCGGGACTCTACGTCTGTTTCAGAAGGGACTTCTTTGCTGCAGTCCTCCAAGCATTCAGCCAGCGGTGTGTGTGTGTGTGTGTGTGTGTGTGTGATTTTACTTACTAACCCTGCCCAATGGCTGC